TTTCACGGGGCCGCGTCTCCTTCTCGTCTCCTTCTCGCGCGTTCCACGGTGTTCGTCCGATGAAAAGGGTGCACCGTGCACCTCGTTCACTTTTCTGGCATGGAATCTCGTTGGGGCACGAGGGCCGGCAGCGGCACGACGACTCTCCATCATTCGATCCCTCGAGATAAATAGCCGCTGCTGTTTTAAAGACCACGTACGCGGCTCGAGTCGTGGTCGCTCGGCGAAGAAAAAGGGGTGGATGGGGTACGAGACGATACGGCTCCGTTTCGTTCGGAATAAATAACGAATTATCCGAGGAGGGGAGAGGGAGCTTTCCTTTCTTTTTTATTTTCTCTCTTTCTTTCTTTCTCTTCTCGGATCGATAAATAAACTCGGACAAACGGTGAATCTTCCGCGGGGGTGAGAATCAGGTCGTTATAAATCAGTTGGCTTTTCGTCGCCGGTGGATCAAGGAAACGGGCGAGATAAAAGAACTACTACTTCGTACTAGTAGTTGGCCCGCTTGTTTTTTCCCCCGTTCCATTCGGGGAGGAAAGAGGGTTGCGAAAAGGTGGCTCGGTTTTTCCCTGTGCTCCCCTACTCGCTCTCTTTGTTCCACGAGGAGGGCGAGAGATGGAGGACGCGGCGAAGAAAAGGGTGCTTCGCTTCCTTTCCTGATAACACGCCCGTCACCGCGTTTCTCCGACACCTTTAAAGGAGGGGGGAAAAAAAAGTTTGATTAGATCAAGGAAATGGGTTGAACGTTGGCAATTTTGTTACAGTTTCTCGTTCCAGGTTAGGTATGCGTTTTGTACATGCCGATGTGTGTGTGTATGTGTGTGTAATTGCGTGCTCGAGAATGTTTTTTAACGACAATTTTCTTCCGTTCCGTGAAGATAAAGATTACGCAAGAGATTGTTTCCGTTGTTCGGTTGTTTCGTTCATTGTTGGTTTTTGCGGAATGCTGCCAAGATGGAGTTGTTGGTTCGTTACGACTACGATTATCGCGCGTATAAGCGCACGTTTAACACGAACACTCGTTCCAAATTCGCCAAAGGCATTGCTCCTCACGGGAACAAAGGTTTCTCTTCCGCGTTCTTCGTGTTTGGAGAGATCTTTCTCTCTCTCTCTCTCTCTCTCTCTCTCTCTTTCTGCCCCGTTATTAAGAAATTATCGTGCATTTCGAGTTTAAAAACGATAAAAAATTCTTAGCGAAAAATTGTTAGAACCGCGGAGAATATTGTCTGGGAACGTGCAAACAATACGACGCGCATAATTCCTCATGAATATTAAATTGTTTAGAAATTAAATTTATTCAGGCGGGAGAGTACAATGGAGAAGCCATTATTCTTGACACACATCTATTTACATAAAACCTCAGCCTACGAGGATCGAGACGATCCGACTGAAAGGATTTTCACGTCTCTTTACCACCTCCCCCTCTCGTGGATTCGAATTACTCGAGTTAATTATGCCAGCCTCGATTAACGCCTGAATACGTAACAAGTCCCCCTTTAAGATTGAAAGAACAGATCGTTGAACTCGTATACGCCGCCGCTCGTCATTCCGTCCTCTATCTTCTAAATCACGTTGTCCGATACGAGGAAGAATAAATCAAGATAACGAAACGAACGTAACGTAAGATAAAGAAAACTTATTTAGAGTAAAAAAAAAAAAAAAAAATTATTTAGTTCGTAAATCATCTCTGAAATACAATCAGCTAAAAAATAATAGCAGTTTACGACACGACAATCACACGCGACAATTGCGATACCGTTTAGAAGCAAAGCATAAAAATTATTGTCACGATATTCGCGTGCTCGCGTGGGTCGAAACGTGCCTCCATCGCGAAACATGTTGCAATAACCGAGTTAAAACGAGGACTGGTTTTTTAAACGGACGATTCGATGCGTGGCAAAAGAGTATTTGCCATTCGTCGGCTATATATACGTATATATATATATATATATATACATGCAACTCGAGATGCACAACTCGATATTTAAAGTTCATCCGCGTTTACCAAAATTTTCGCCTCGTTTTAACCACTAACAGACGCTGACCCGTGGCAGATTAAATCGGACAAAATGTTTCCATCTTCGGAAACTGTGCTCGCACAGGTTTTAATTTCGTACGAATTCGTTACGATCCTTTCGGTTATTTCTTGCGTAATCGCGATCGTCCTTCGAATCTTCGGATACTAGGAACTCTGTATTTTTTACGATATATAAATATATCCGCATATAACGTATATAACGTAACACAGAGAAGACACAACTTGTTCGAGAGATTTCACGTAGTAACAGCGATTTCGATTCTCCGAGTCAAAAGTTCAAAGACGAAGAAAACGAAGGAACAGTGAATGAATTTCGAAACAGGAAAAACATTTCTCATTTCATGTTGCCGATCCATAATTATTATGTAATTATTTCATCCTCGTTGAAGATAAAACCGCTAAATGAAACACTTTGTTTTCTTCGAAATCGATGATGATGTCACCACCCAGAGACCTCATTTACGCTCCGTCTCACGTTTCTAATAAAATAAATCGCTTGCGTAACATCGTTAGAAATGTGAATCTCGATTGGCGCGTTCAACAGTTTGCGAGAGTATCGCTCGTTCCGCGATCCGGCCGTTGAATAACATCTGGGAGGGGGAGAGAAGAATTCGTACGAGAAAAGAAGGGAACGAAGGGGGCAAAATGATTAAATTGCCGCTCGCGCACGCTCTCCCTCCGGTTATTACGAGAGAAGGGATTCCATCCAACCTCGTGCCTCGCACGCCACGTACCCCCGATTTCTCTAAACTCGGGGCCAATTAATATTCTAAACACGGCGTCCGCCCTTCCGTAATCGTTCCGAGTCGCGAAAATCCAGCATCCGGCAAGTTGCGAGGCGTCGAACAGATTACAGTCGGTTAAGCTTCCTGGGGATATCGGAAGATCAGCGCGCACGACGAAATAACAAGGNAGCGAAGGGAGAGAGGGAAGGGATGGAAATGAGGAGATCGTGCGANGAGAGAGAGAGAGAGAGAGAAAGTTTAATCCCATCGTCATGCGTCAAACTGCGCCTTAATTACGTGACAAAATTTCAGCAGAGCGTGGAACGACGACCGAAACTTTGGCGGAATAACGCGATGATTATTAAAGCCTTTGCCGCGGACTCCGATAAACCTTCGATCGATGGCAATGACGCTCGACGAGTAGCCCGATTTTAACGACAACCTGCCCGCTTCAACGACGACCACCAGGGCCGACCGGGTTCCTCTCGGCAACGCCGGCCAACCGGTTTATCCCTTTGCCCGGTGCTTTAACGTGCGATCAACCCCGCCTATAGGTCGCTGGCGACAAAGTATGCAAATTGAGGAGGCGCGGATTGAACGCATATTCCGTTCAAGGAAGGAGATGACCAACGGTCGACCGATCTCCGTCGTTAAATATCCGCTTGTCAACGAGTTTTCTTACACGCATTGAGATAATAGGTACGAGTGTTTGTAGACACGTGTCGTGTTTCTACAAACCGAGGTCAACCATTTCGAACGTACTAGGCTAGTTTTCCAATTACGAAATGACGTCAAGGATCAACTGCCTGCTTCATTTGCCGTATCTCATGTCGAGATGATGGTGAAGACGAATTATATTTTATTCGTACCCCGTTCGTTAACGTTTGTAAGTGAGAGGCGATCGGATGACGAAATTTTTACAGAGAAAGAGAGAGAGAAAAAGAAGAAGAGAATCCGGTCGTCGATACAACGTTCATCCGATTGATCCGCTTGGTTCAGCAGGAATTTGGAACGCGCGTTCCAAAACGAAAAAACAGAAAGAAGAAACTCGAAACTTTGTTTATTATTCCTCGTGAATTTATGCAACAGGGAAAAAATGTTGAAAATATCGCTTCTTCCTCTTTCCTTATTATATAAAATTTACTATTCAAAACAAATTGATAGCATTGAATTTTATTATTTGTCACGAGCGTTAAATTCAATTACACGGCACATTGTTGCATACCGGTAGGATTAATTATATATTCATGGTGGAGGATGGAGATATGCATTAATGTCCACGATCGCGTTGTGCAAAGATGTTGCGGAAGTTTGCACAAGTTGTTGCGCGGGAATATAATAATCGAGGCGAATGAACGAAATCGGTTAGCACAGTTTCGGTCCAGAGATATTAATCGTGGATATCGTGGATAATCTCGCGAATTTCGGGAACGCGCCTCTGTCCATGGTCTTCGACTCGACTTGGCCTGAATTATATCCCATCTCGG